CCCCCCCCCCCCCGTCTGCCCTAGAGCTAACAATCCTCCTTCAGCTAATGTCTGACCCCAAGAGCTAACTCTCCTCTCTCAGCTTAAGTCTGACCCACCCCAGAGCTAACACTTTTGCCCTCAACTAATGTCTGACCCTCAGAGTGAGCACCCCAGTTTCCTTGGCTAATGTCTGACCCCCAGTTTCCTCTATTAATGTCTGATTCCCAGAATGAACACTCTAGCTTCATTGGCTATATCTGGACCCCAACACTTCCCCCAACTTATGTCTGACTTCCAGAGTTAACATGTCTTCTTCCCTAACCAATGTCTGACCACCGGATCTATTACTTCACCGTTCCCCAGCCAGTGTCTGGCCCATATAGTGAAAATGTCATCCTCCCACCCAGTGTATGACTTATACAGCTAGCACTTCACACATACCACATGGTGCGTGGCCCATAAAGCTAACACGATCTATTCAATCTGTATCTGCTCTGTCTGTGCAACCCATGTCTATCCTGCTGAGCTAACGGATAGTTCTTCCAACCAAAGTTTGACCTCCAAAACTAACACTCAGTTCCCTACCCGGTGTTTGACCCCCCCAGAACTCATGTCACCCACCCTCAGGGTGCCCACACACCTTACGATAATCGTACGATAAACGCGGGAAATCCCGTGATCGTACGATTATCACAAGGTGTGTGGAAGCCGTGCGACCTCTGCTACTGTAAGGTCGCACGACTTTAAACTTACGAACATGTTTGAAAACCCGCCAAGCATGGTACGATGTTCGGCCGGTGTGTAGCATGTTCGTAAGATAAAAGCCGGACGGGCCGGTGTGCGCAAGTGCACACTGCCCGTTCGGCATTGTTGTCATCGGAAGCCCGCCCCTCAGGGGTCGTGGCTTGCGATCATTGCAAGTACGATCTGCCTGTCCAAGATAGGCAGATCGTACGTTTTTTTAAGTACCTTACAACCATCGCAAGACAAAAGTCTTGCGATGGTTGTAAGGTGTGTGCCCAGCATTAGCCAGTGTCTGACCTACATAGTTTCCATTCTAATTGATGATTGAACATCAGAATTAATTCAATCTCCCAAAGGGATCTCCAAGCTAACATTTAATGTCATTCAGCCAGTGTCTATACTCCATAACCAACATCTCACTCAAGCTTTGTCTGAACCCCAGGACTAAACTCCATTCTCTAACTAATCAGAGCTGCTTAGTTAGCATTAGTTTCTTCATTACTTTCTGAGCCAGAGAGCCTACACTTCATTCCACACAAACCGTTTTCCAACTGCAGAGTTTTCCCTTTCCGTCCTCCACAGACATTAACAGGCATGCTTGGGGTGAGTTGAGCATGCATGTTAATAAAAACATTTTACAAATCTAACCACATTTAGATGTCTGGTCAGAGTTACACTTCACGTGTTTTAGGTTCTGCCAATTTCAGGAGCTCAGGTTCCTAGACTCTGAACTTTCTTGTGGTGAAAATTCAAGTCTCAGCACTGTTGTGTTATCAGTGCATGTTAGGGGCATACTTCCATTCTTCCTTTTTATATAAAGTGACACTTTTAGTAGGTTTGATGCTGAGCATATCTAATATGTAGCTGCTATGGAGCTCCAAATCACAGCATTTTCCTGCGGTGCTACCCTTCTCTTGGGTCAGGGAAAGCTTTTCTCTCAGTGCTGTGTAGCAACAAATCCCACCTTCATGGACAACCAAAAAGCTGGGTATTGCATATACTGGACTTGTAGTTCCTCAGCATCTTGAAAGCCACTGGCTGCCTGCCTCTGGGATATACACTAACAATTCCATCTCCTGTCCTCTCCTGTGCTGGCTGTCTTTACACCTTCTGCCTGGAATTGCTGGCTCCTTCCATATTTCTTATGTTTAACCTTTTCTAATTTGCTGTGATTGTTATACTGACCCTGCTGTCACATATTAACAAATAAAGTTATTTTAATGTGAATGTCTTTTTTCCCCTTTCTCTTACCTACTTCTACTTCATAATTGTTATTCTTCTAATGTAATTTATAATGCAGTGACATTGTCCTAAGCAAAATCCGGCAATCTTGCATAACGCATCACAAATTACCTACTAAAATCTCTAGAGACATGGCAGTGTTACTGTGTATGTACGATTGTTTGTTTTTTTTTGTTTGTTTTTTATAATACAAGAGCTGTGGAATATCATGTGCTTTACTTATGAGCCAGATAGGCAGTGTACCAGAACAGTTACCTGGGTGCCTAATGCCAGCCATAGATGCAAAATTGCAGTCAAATCATACTGTAAAATGTACCATAATTGTACATCAGCAGACCCTTTTAGGCACTAGCCTAAAGATGATATATTTCACGTGATAGATTCCCCCTCTTACACCAAAGATTAGTTGGCCGAATGTGCCTAGAGCAGCCTTTCTCAACCATAAGGTTACTTCAGAGGGGTTTTTTGAGCTGTGGTGGATATTGATTTCCCACCTAAACTGACCATCAATTTAATGGGTAATGCCCCTGTTCCGCTGGCCCCTGTTCCGCTGGCCCCTGTTCCGCTGGCCATGAATTTAGGAAGACAATTTTCACAGTCTGTCTTTTCTGTCCATTATTCTTTCTTTGTCATGATTATTATTGGAAAGTTTGTTGTATAACGATTTGCTTGCTCTATTAACTGATCACACTAATATACCATGAACTGTAGATATCTTTTTTAGCAGGGGTTACCTGGGAGCTGCAAATTATTTCAGGGGTTCCTCCAGGGTAAAAAGGTTGGTGAAAGGCTGGCCTAGAGACCTATAGTTTGTCAATTCCATTATTGACTGCATCAGGTGCTGATCCTTTTTGTTTCTAATTTTTCTTGGCCTGGTTGCT